TTTCATTACCGCATTAATTTTTTATTTACAAATGCTACATCGCTGATCATTTGACAGCTTCAATGAATTTAAGTAAAACTTTCGACCAAATACTGCAACTTTGGACGGAGAGAGAGCTTAAGTTATTCACATAAAATAACTCTCAGTTTTTGGTCACTCATTCACCAAAATAGGTTCATTGCATAAAACTTGATATTAGAGAGATTTTTGGCAAATTTCGTAATCGATTCTCATTTTCGGAATTATCATATGTTTTAAGCCGAATTAGTGAAAGAATTGTTTGAAAGAAACGTTTTAATCCACATATTAAAATAAAAATTTCACATCTAAATATAAAAAGAAGGTGAAACTGTTAAAAAGGATATTTCATTATAATAACGCGTCAAAAATATTTCCTTTCAACTAACACCTTTATCTTTTACATTTTTATAATAATAATAATAGATTGGCGCTTACACATATGTTAGTGTTTGGCCGAGCTTCTCCCCGAGCAACATCTCAAAAAATATAGAAAAAGGTTTTTTTCTTAACAACGGTCGTCCCTCGGCAGGCAATGCCAAACCTCCGAGTGTATTTCTGCCATGAAAAACAGCTTCTCATAAAAATACAATCGCCGTTCGGAGTCGGCGTAAAACTGTAGGTCCCTCCGCTTTGTGTGACAACAACAAGGCGCACCCCACAAGTCGGAGGAGAAGCTCGGCCAAACACTTACATTTTTATAACTGCAAAAAAAATACACTTATTTTTTCATTTGGTATTTGTTCTCCTATTTTGGTTGGCTCGGTAATAGGTGATCATGTTGGGTGATTCAGGGGTTGGAAAAACATCCATTCTCATCAGATTTTATGACGGCAAATATATTCCAAACTACTACATAACTACAGTAGGCATTGATTTTCGGGTAAGCATTGGGTGTCGTCAACAATCGGATGATCGATGTGAATTGGTCAAAATTGTTGCACGTGTTTCCTCCCTATCTACTTACAATGTGTAATGAATTGTCTACATCTGTCTTTTCCTGCAAATACATTGGTTGGGTTATTATTATTGTAAAAAGGTGCTGTCCGTGAGTAATATAAGGCGTGTTTTTTTGCACGTATACGTATCCGCGCTTAAAATTTGTTTGGAGCTATAAGCGACAAACTTTATGTATGCTTATGAATAAATCAAAATTACTTGTTTTTAAATGGAATCGTTCTTGCTTGTGGTTTTTACACGTTAAGCATAAATATATATGTATATATGCCACATAAGACTATCCCAGGAATATTTGGAAAAAAATTTGTTTGCAAATTTGTATATGCATACCCTCTATATTTAAGCTTTTTAGCCTAAATAGAATATATATGAAGTTTTATGACCGTAGGATAACGATAACCCGTGCCGAATTTTAGTTGAAAGTTTTTGTTAAAAACTTGAATCAAGACTACCAAGTTGTCCATGAAAACTTTGGAAATGCAAAACGTTCGACAAGTTTCCCATATGAAATATGAAATTGTAGACTAATTTGTATGTGGTCTGACAGGGCGTATGATGAACATTAAATATTTATATTAAACTTTTTTGATAAATACTTTTCCTACTTTAAAAAAATAAACAAAATTAAGTGTTTTAGTGTTTGCATTGTCCTCTCGGGTTGATTAAGTAATATATGTGGCAGTATTAATTAAAAAATTTGAAAAATATCCTTTAAAATTTTTATCCTTTATATCCTTTCATATATATGTATATAGATTAATAGGATTTAAATAAGACTAAGATTCTTCAAAACTCATTCAAAATTAAAAATCTTGAAATTTTCCAAAAGGATAATTGAAAGAAAAGTTATAATTAATGTTGTTTCGAGTTCGCCATTCAATTGATAGGCATATGTCCATTTGTGGTGTAAACTTTTGGAAATATATTCAAATTTGTTGTCCTTAGGAAAAAAATTCGACTACCGGGTAAACAACCAAAAACGCAGATTTACTCAATATTATGTCCTGATACTGTAGAGAGTATAGTAATACCGTCTTATAGCGAAGAAAAATTAAACAAAACACGCGAGTTGCATTAAGTTTATTCTGATAACTTTGACTGCAAGTCGGCAGGGGTTGCCGTGGTCCGAGTTGCATACAACTTTATTCGGACTGTTTTGAAAACAAAGTCCATAAAATGAGGGGGTACGCAATTAAAAATAACAACTTTTAGTCCATTTTAATTTTATGAACTCGGGTGTCAGATTACATATGAGAGGAGTCTATGCAAAAATGATATCTCCACTTCCAACACTTTTTTTGGGTTTGTGTATTTTCGTTTTCTGCTATTACTGATAAGACACTCCTCATATAATCACCATCAATGCAAAATATCTTTTTTGACATATGTTTGGTATTATGCGCTTTTAATATTTCCTAATTTACTCGTAAGTACTTTCAGATACACCTCCTCACCACAATGCAAACCGAAATCTTTCGAGATACGGTATTCATTGATATCATAAAAAAAAGCTTTGTATACATTTCAAATCTGTCTAATTGGGCATTTTGCATTGATGATGGTATCTACATACCTACTACATAAAATTGTGTGTTTTTGGGCTGCCAATTAAACTTTAAGCTATGTATGTAGTATGTATACTCGTCAAAAATTTGTATATTAAGATTGTATGTATCGTTCATATATCTCCGAGGTATGAGTAATAAATACTAAAGAATGTAGTCACAAATACATGACTAATGTTTCGTTAGCCAGAAGTGACAATGTGCTACTGACAACCGCATGCTGCATTTCCTCTATAAGATTCAAGCCATGTACCCTACACCTTACCACACAATATTCGGATTTGAAGCATGACTAGCATTAAACATCAGTATCGATATTATATAGGCATATATTTATAAAATTCGCAATGCGATTGTAGTTTTCAATTTTTTTATGTATAGTAATACACGGCGTATAAGTAATTTATAGAATTCAACTCCCTAAATTAGAAATGAGCGCTGCATATCGGAAGCCGCGAAACCGACGGCACTGATTTCAAAATGCCCAGGATGGGCGTTAACGAGAAGGGCTTCAAAAATACTCTTCCATACAAAGTATAGTATGTTCGACAATTTTTTTGTATGGAAGAAAATAAAAATTATCAAAAATCAACGCGATTTCTTAGCCACTTGAAATGTGCACTTTATCAAGTTATCAAGAATTGAATGGACTATAAAATGGCATACTTCAACTTTTTATGAAAATTCTTATTAAAAAGCTTGTTGTTGTTATAACATTTTGTTGAATTTTTCTAATTTTTATGCAAAGTTTGAAATTTAGACTTAATTAATGTTAGATGATGGCTGATAAATAAATAAAATAAATATAGACAAATGTATGCATAAATGCTCAAAATGAATAGAGAAGTCGATTAAGCCATATCTGTCTGTCCGTCCGTCCGTGTACACTTATGGTTACATGTGTATATCTTGGTAACCGCTGCACCAATTTCTTCCAAACAGTTGTTGGCCTTGGTACAGCATAACAAATGGCCGACAATTTTTCAAATCGGACAATAACCACGCCCACATCCCTTATAACGGTAATTTAGAGAAATACAAAATCTTCGATAAATCAGTAAATATTAAAGCTAATTTATTCAAAATTGATGCTTGCAACAATTCTTTACCAAGAAATACATTTATGATAAAATTTTGGAAAATGGGCGTGGCACCGCCCACTTATGATCACATATATGTATCTCGGTTACCGTTCTACCAATTTGTACCAAAGTCGGTATGGTTATTGTGCTTGCCACACATAAGCAAAACGTTGAAAATGATTGAAATCGGACTAAAATTACGGCCGCTTTTCATCTAACGGTAATTTTCATAAATGCTTGAAACTTTAATATTTCGAAATTTAAGAACGCTAATTTACTCAAATACCATGTAGCGGTAGCTTTCGGAAAGCTGAAAAACATATATTTAATACTTGCTCCGGGTATTTAATGTTCGGCTCCGCCCGAACTTAGACTCTCTTATTTGTTATAAAAAAATATATATATAAAAATTGCACAAACAAAAGAAAAACTGGTCGAAACTGGTCAAAATTTCGTGTCTCTATTACTTTTCACATGACTGTATCGGAACCAAATTTGGTTCACTTACTACAGACTTCCCAGTGAAGATCATGTACTGAATATAATTTCGATATATCGAGGGGGCGTGACCACTAACATACTAATGCAAATTTTCATAATGCATAAATATAACGGAAAAAGCTTCCGTGGTCTTTCCCATACAAGTAGAATTTTCATACAGAATATCTCAAGAAGTATCTGAGGTAGGGTACTGGAATTGTTTCTGGAGATTTCACGAAATTCGAAGTTAATAGAAAAAATGTCGTGAGCAACTCCGATTTGATCTAAAATTCGCATGGCACATTCCGCTGGAATCATTTACCGAGAGCAATGAGATGTGGTAATTTATCAATGCCATGTTACTGATTTAGAGTTGCAAATGTTAGTTGCCCCCCTGCCCTACGTTCGTATGTATGTATGTTACGACAGTATTTATTTACGTTGTCATGTAATTTTAACTTTACTTGTGTTCTTCTATTTTTACCTATCTTAATAATTTGCATAAGTGTGTGAGATTACCCACTTTTGTCAGAACAACTTATCTCCAGTTTGAACTTTGGTCTGTAAAGCAGATAAATCTACTTCTTCTTTTTTGGCGCTGTAGCGATTTTGGCCGGGTAAATATATGTACATAAATAACTTCCACTAACGGCTTAGTAAAATTTTATTGAATTTATCATCTAAGGTATTATTTTAAATAAATTCTTCTAAATTCAAGTAAGTTGTTTTGTCAAATCTCAACAGTAGTTTATGTTTTAATTGTTTGTTATTGTACTGTAATTCCATAGCCGAAAATGACCACCAGCAGTGCTTAATATTTAAAAATTCAATTCCAATTGCATATAAATTTGTTTATGTATGCTTGTATCTGTTATTTTATTTTATGACACAATAGAATAAGGTAGTAGTTGTGGATGGCACGCGCGTCAAATTGCAAATTTGGGACACAGCTGGTCAGGAGCGTTTTCGTAGCGTCACACATGCCTATTATCGAGATGCACATGGTATGTTGTAGTATTTTATTATGTACTACATAAGTATGTTTTATACAAATATCAACTTAAAGTTTTCTACTTTTTTCCTTACATAGCTCTGCTTCTGCTATATGACGTCACCAACAAAACCACTTACGACAACATTCGCGCATGGCTGGGCGAGATAAGGGAATATGCACAGGATGATGTCGTGATTGTGCTCATTGGTTTGTATACTCCTATACATATACATATATGTACATACATATGTATGTATGTACATTAGGATTGTTCCCCCCCCCCCCCCCCGCTCCCCCCGCCCTCTTCTTGGATTGTTCTTCTATTTAATAGTTTAACAAATTTGGTATTAAATATTATTGGAATACCATGAAAATAAGCAGAGAAACAGAGTTCTCCGATCGAAAGATATGATTTTCAAGAGTTCTGGATTCTTTCTACGAAAAGTCACTTTTTCCTAAATAAAATTCGTGGAAAACTTTGAGCGCTTTGAGCGACCTCTAAATATTTTTTAATTTCGTAATAGAAAACAAACGTATTTTCCCATATAGAATAATCCTAGGACCTGAGAGCATTAGAATTGGGACTTAACTTTTTTTTGCATCCTTTTTTGGGACCACCCTAATGTGCATACATTTCTAAGTATTTGTGTACTTTTCGCTTAAATGGAGTACATGAGTGCAATATCAATTCGTTAGTTGTCGTGGAGTAAAGATTAGGTTAAGCGATGGATTTTCAATATGTTACGTAAAAAGGGCTTCTATTGAAAAAATTTACAAATTCTCCAATGAAACCACTTATGGGGTATTCCATCGTCACGGGTGGGACATTTGTACAGCAAAAATTGTTTTTCTTTTTTAAATTTAAGTATAAAGTACTAAGCAATTCTACATTTTGATAAAGCTACACCTAGTTCACTAATATACGAGTTATTACCAAATACGAAAAATATTCAAACTTGATTTTATATTGGAAAATTCTGAGCTGTTTCTTCCGTCACGGGTAGGACAAAGAAAAGACACTGCTTTTTGGAGAACATATATTTTAAGGAAAGTCTGTGAATTTACTTAACATTTCTATCTGGATTAGATGTTTTACTATACAGAAAAGAACCAGCAATCCCAACAAAGCACAAACCATAATAAGAATTAGTTGTTTATTATTAAAAAATTCAAAATTCTCCTGTCACGGGTGGGACAACTTTTGTCACGGGTGGGACACGTACGATTTTCTTCATGAAAGGAAGCTTCTAGTGAGATCCATATCAAAGAGATTAGGTATGATAAATGTTAGAGGTCAAATACAAGATCAATTGACCTACTTTTATGACAGTGGAGTCATTGTAAGACGCACGATATACTGCTGACCCCAGGATCTATTTTAGGGGCAATAGTTATACCAAACGAAAGCTAGAAGTCGCCAGATTGATGTATTAAAATGCATGGAAGAAAGGATTATTTGCAAACGCATGAAATTTTATATGCATTTTCCTAATGCACTTCTGCACGGTGCATTTGATTGCAACGAAATTTCGAATGTGCCTTAATGATTTTCAAGTTTGTTTAGAATAGCTATGTATGTCTGACTAATACTAACTACAGGCTAAACATGTATATCGACTACTGTTATCACGTCGATAGCGATGTCTAACCTGCTGTTAGTGTTGACCAGACATTGAGTAACCGGCTTAAGAGTGGCTCGAGTTGAGTTATTTTTGGAAACTGATTTCATGTACAAATCATGCTCAATTTTAGCTATTCCTTAGAACCATAGAACGTCAGAAAAGATCTTGTGTATCGATGTCTAATCCGAAAAGTTATCTGCATTAGAATACTTGTAAGCAGATACATACATATGTATATCTTTGTCACTTAAAGGCTATTTATTGGATTGAATTTATAAGTTTCGCGAACTTCTAGATTTTCTTGGTTGGAACTTTTCAGGTAATTGTTAATATTGACTTTTGGATTGTTGTTAAGCAACCCTCATCATAGAATTCTCTGGCGTCTCTAAGATAGTAATGCTTATCTTGACTTTTCGAGCTGGCCACGCGAAATTTTTTACTACATCGCTTAGCCCACCAACAGTATTATGGTGTTTAGTCAACCTGAACTTCAGAGTTTTGTGGCATTAAACATAGGTTTGAAACGTTAAACTTATTTTTTTTATTGTTAGGCACCATTAGAAAAAAATTATAAATGATTGTCACGGGCGGGACACGATAAAACGTTTCAAAATCGCTTAAGTAGGTACTTATAATATAATAAAAGAAATGAAATAGGGCTGCTTAGTATAAACACACTCTAGTTATGAAATTATAGAAAACTCCCTAAAGTAGTAACTAAGCAATACGAAGTTTAAAACTTTTTAGTCACGGGTTGGACATGCTAAACCGTAGTGATTTTATCCTATTATATAATTTAAATGCCTATTTTTCTTCAATGCCATATTGCTTCTTCGGGGCGCAGAAAGATCGAGACATTTATTCCCCCCTTCAAAAAAATAATAACTTTGTGAATACTTGATTTTGCAGAGCCTTCTATATTAAAATATATATTCGTATTCAACTACTTTTCTAATGTTGAAGTTTTGAGTGTATTTACAGTGTAATAAAATAATATAACTAAATTTTTTTTCGAAAAAACGTTAATTTGAGGTATTGAGCATTGATTCATCAAGCATTTCATGTTCAATAAGCTACTTTACAATTGGACACAAAGTTTCACTTACTCATGGAATACCCCTTATATAGAATGTTTATTTTCTGCTCTAAAGGCTATAATCTCCATAGGAGCAAACTCCACAGCCACCCAAGGAATAAGATGGGTGGTAAAGATTTAGGCACAACAGCCCAGTCTTAAGCAGGAATCGCACGATTTGTACATTTGTATAGATTTTTTCCATTTTGACAGTTACAGACTGGGGTTGTTTGGACATTTTTTATTGAGCTAAACTCATTCTCGATAAATATTTATAGACACCACCACTCTGTGTCTGCCAAAATTTATAAATCTGTACAAATGTACAAATCGTATGATCGCTGCTTTAGTGCATACTTCTCCCAGTGCGAAAAGCACTCATATTTTTGGTTTAACATCACAGAAAGTCCGAAGCTGAGTAGAAACTCAATATAGGAGTAAGTGAGTTAATATGGCCCTCTTATGTTTTGCATATATTCCCATATTTTGCTTGTTTGTATATTTGCATAGTTTTGTATACATTTGCATATGTATTTCCTATAAATAAAGTTATATATGTAAATGTGGCATTGTCAAAATCACCCTCAATGTCTACAAATATGCCCAAGGCGAACTCCAACTCCTTCCTATGGATGGCAAGGGCATTTCGGGCAACCAGATTTTGGTAAGGCGTCTCCCAGGATTTCCCCGCCTGATAGGCATGTCGATGCAAAGACAGAGGATGTGATGAGAGTACCTCTTTCTTAAATTATATACGAAGTATACAAATAGGCATATCACAAGAATTAACCCCCTTTCAACTTTACAACGATATGAATTTTTTTAAATCAGTTCAAAATTTTCTGAAATATTAAGTTTTTAATTTTTCGAAGATCTGACATTTGACCCGTTATAGCACCTGTAATATAAGCTTTCACAAAAACATTTATATACCATATAAATAAGAGCAAAAGGCGGACCACATCTGTATTATTATTTTTTTTGCTTTTTACATGCAATAATTAAAAATAATTTTTTACCAAAGGTTCAATTTCGAAATTCGAAGAACGGAGAAATTACTTTTTTAACTTATGACTCAATCTCTAAAAAAGTTGGTTTGGCCCCATACCCAGCCGAGTGCTGTACAGTGTTAATGGTATAAAAAATATGAATTCAAATTCAATGAATCTCACTAAATATTTTAAATAGTCTGGCTTAGTTTGATTAAATAACATGCTTAAATTTGCTTTCTTAAAACGCAATTCAGGAAATAAAGCGGACTGCAGCAACAGCGAACGGCAAGTAAAACGCGAGGATGGAGAACGATTAGCTAGAGAGCACAATGTACCATTTATGGAAACATCTGCTAAAACGGGATTGAATGTCGAACTTGCTTTCTCAGCAGTCGCTAGGTGAGTAAAATAAAAACCGATCATTAAACAAAAAAAATATATATGTACATTAAGTGAACTCGACCACGCACTAAGAATTTTTTTATTGTACCGGAAAGAACTTCTCAAACTAACTTCCCGCCTAATTTTTTTTCTCGAAAATGTCATTTTATACATAAATTTATAAAGATCTCGCCAAAACTTTGTAAGGATTTAAATAAAGATCTCAGATTTTTTACAATTGACATAAATATGGCAAATCATAATCGCTTGGTCGCAAGCTATGACAAAGTATCTCAAAAGTTAACTGAGCTTTGCTCTATTAACGAATTCCGACACTAAATAATTGGCAAAGTAAACGAATCGGACTGGCTGTGTATTTACGGGAGGAACATTAACACCCGACTTCTGCACCGACGTTCCCGACTCCGAGCCAACCTTGGTTCTAGTTGGGATTTTCCCTGTCCGGCTCGTCCACTTCTCAGCCGTACTAATGCTTTCTTATGGAATAAGGAACTTAAGAGGTTCACGAGTGATTCGAAAATTTGCTTAACCGAGCTTTCAAAACTAATTTTTAGCCGGTTAGTAAAATTCCTTTGCGAAAAGTTAAAGATCATTGAGTACTTTAGTCATATTGAAATCTCGGGGAAAAAGGCTTAGTTGGTATCTCACCCAAACCAAAGAGCGAGGTTCACTCATTAGGCCTGATCGTTATTGTGCAAGTAATGATAGCACATTTTGAGGTTTGTTAATAGAACCTAACAGACGAATGAAAATACCCTAAGATATGCTATTATATCTTTTACAACTCCAAATCATCCGGTCCAGATTGCTTCCTACCGATTGTAAACAAAACAAGTAAGAAAGTCTAAGTTCGGGCGGAGCCGAACATTAAATACCCGGCGCAAGTATTAAATATATGTTTTCCACCTTTCCGAAAGCTACCGCTAGATGATAAGCCGGGGTGTATACATTTTAAGTAAATTAGTGTCCTTAAATTTCGAAATATTGAAATTTCAAGCATATCTGAAATTTACCGTTATATGAAAAGCGGCCTCAATTTTAGTCCGATTTCAACAATTTTCAACGGTTTGCTTTTATGTGGCAAGCACAATAACCATACCGAGCTTGGTATAAATTGCTAGAACGGTTAGCGAGATACATATATGTGATCACAAGTGGGCGGTGCTACGCCCATTTGCCAAAATTTTGTAATATTCTTATTTTTCATCTAAAACTCATTGCAAATATCAATTTTCAGTGAATTATCTTCAGTAGTTACTAAAATATCGCAGTTTTCGTTTTTCTGAAAATTACCGTTATATGGGAGGTAGGCGTGGTTATTGTCCGATTTTTAAAATTTTCAGCCATTTAGTATGCTGTACTAAGGCCAACAACTGTGCCAAGTTTGGAAGAAATTGGTGCAGCGGTTACCAAGATATACACATGTAACCATAAGTAGGCGTGGCTACGCCTATTTTCCAAAAATTTATAATATTCATGTTTTCCGTCTGAAACTCATTGTAAGTATCAATCTTGAGTGAATTATCTTCAGTAGTTACTAAAATATCGCAGTTTTCGTATTTCTGAAAATTACCGTTATATGGGAGGTAGGCGTGGTTATTATCCGATTTCGCCCATTTTCAATACCATCCGTCCCACGCCCAAAAGAAGTTCACGTACCAAGTTTCGTTAAGATATCTCAATTTTTACTCGAGTTATCGTGTGCACAGACGGACGGACGGACGGACGGACGGACGGACAGACAGTCACCGCTTAATCGATTTCTCTTTTCATTCTGATCATTTATGTATACATTTGTCTATATCTATCTCGATTCGTTTTGCCTGTTACAAACAACCGTTATGTGAACAAAGTTATAATACCCTTGTGCACAAGTGCGCTCGGGTATAAAAACTGCAGAGTTTTATTAACGACCTTAAAAAAGATTTCCACTTTGATGTTTGAAGCTTCCCCGGCTTTAAGGCATAAAGTGACGTATGTGTGGAAAAATTAGATTTATCCAAGAAATCCATTAGGATTCACGCAGAAGGATTTCAATATGCTCATATGTCAAATTGGAAAGCATTCTTCTTTTCTCTTGTGCCTAGCAGTTGATGATCTTCTCTGTTTTATCTACCATCATCTTGTATCTTAGGCTTGTAGGCTTACAAAAAAATTCATAGATACAAAAATATATTTTTTTTTTATGTAAAAAAGTGATCGTAGGCTATGTTGTTGTTAATGTAACAGCATACAAATAACCCAAAGAGTTTTTGGGGAGTGTTGCTGAAGTTACAGTCATTGGCCAGATATAAATCTGCATCGTTCCGATTACGTAGACCCGACTGTCGTGAGAACGATCATAGGCCCTATTTAACTTTTCTATAGAGATACTATTTACAATGCTATTTACAAAACTATTGCAACTTTCCAACTAATAAAACGCTGGAAGAAATTCACACCGATTGCAACCCAAACAAGCCCTATATTGCCATCAATCTCAAAAGGTCTAATTAGGTATCTCTTCCACTGAGAAGAAGAGACTGTGACCAACTCGTGGGATTGCTAAATTGCTGACCGGTAACTTTAAATGGCTTAAACACCTCATTGTGATTGGCATAGTTGGCAATCGTACTTAAGAACAACTACATGATACAGCGAGTTTCAAGAAACGTTTTTATAATAATAATAATAGATTGGCGCTTACACATATGTTAGTGTTTGTTGTATTTCGTAGGTAGTATTATTATTTATAACTATATTCCTTTTTTCTTAAATAAAAAAAAATTGTGCGATGATATATTTTATTTTTGTGCCCATTTTGCTAGAACTGTATTTTCGCTTAAAAGGAGTTAATATAGGCTGTTTAAAACTATGAAATTATAAAATGTCGTCCCTCTAAGGTTACTGTAAAACGATGCCACTCTGCAATGTGATACGAAAAAGAAATGCGATGCGAGAGATCCATTAGGATTCAAGCATTTAATTACGATTAAACCCGTAAAGTCTTAATCTGTGTAAAACTCGTAAGTTTACGAGCCTGTTACGGGTACGCCCTCTTTTGCAATTGTGTAAATAGGTGCATAAAGTGACTGTGACTGATGTGACGACAAGCTGAAAAGCGTTTTGTGAATATTTCGATTCGTAGTATTTTTCATAATAGCCCGCCAGCTCGAATGAAAGCTAAAATATAATTAAAAGTGCGAGAATGAATAGAAAACCCATGTAAATGCAGTTGGTGGATGAAATTCACTAATTTTATTCACCTATTATTTTTTTCATCTGTTTTCAGTATTTTATCATACATTTTACATAGAATAAAATCTTCGGCTCCTCGGTAACACTGAAGTTTACGAGGCCGTTTGCACATCAAATTTGCATCGTAAATTTACGAGGGGCTCGTAAATAGAGCTCCGTACAAATTTTGACATTTTTTACGAGGCTCGTAAATTTACGAGCTTTACAAGTTTACGAGGCTTCTACGAATTTAAGGGAAAACCCCTGATGTATTTGCCTTTCGCATCGCATTGCTCATTCTTATCGCCACGTAAACGTGTAACCTCCTGCAGGTACCACGCCCCCTTTTCCTTTTTCCAACGCAATTTCAGAGCTGTCATTTATAAAATACCAATTTTTAATATTCTAGCTAAATGCTCCCAGAGAATGCAGCATAAAATACTCAATTTGCATGGGAGTTGCCACACCCCCTTTATACTAACCTTTTTTTCCTCCATGACTATGGGATTCACTTCACATACATATCTCCATAACAACCCCTGCAGTCAAATGAATTAGCCGCATGCACAACTAGTCAGCCAACTATCTTTTTTCCATGCAATCAACTGGTGTTTTTAACATGGGGATGTTCTACGAGATGGCAATTGTCAGATTTTGGTCAAAAATATACCCGTCTCATACTAGTTCAAAATAGACAGAAAAATACCAGTCCAATTATGGGATTGATTTCACATACATATCTCCATAACAACCCCTGTAGTCAAATGAATTAGTTGCAAACTACCTCACAACTAGTATGAACCGCATGCACAACTAGTCAGCCAACTATCTTTTTTCCATGCAATCAACTGGTATTTTTAACATGGGGGTGTCCTACGAGATGGCAATTGTCAGACTTTGGTCAAAAATATACCAGTCTCATACTAGTTCAAAATAAACACAAAAAATACCAGTCCAATTATGGGAGTCAAGAAATAAAATGAATTCATTAATATACAATAAAAACATTTTGAATAAGTACACTTTAATAGCAGCCTTAGATTTGCCAATAATTAGTGTACAATTTTTTGAGTACTAATTAAAAGGAAAAAATAAATTTAAATGCATTTTTCATTAAATGTTATTAAAAGTAAAAGCTTTTGGGTACAATAAATACTACATCTTTTTATACTTTTTAATAATATTAAATATACAAAAAAAAAATTAGTTAAAAATAAAATAAATACTTTAGTTCATTTTCGAGTGAACTTAAAAAAAATAAAAGTTTTCATTTTCACTTGTTTTTAAAATTTAATAAAAGAAATTATTAACGCTTAAAATTTGAGATTTGGATAAGAACAAAGTAAAAAAATAATTCTTGCAGTAATCAAATGTTCTTAATTTTTGTCTAAAGTTTGGCTTGTTGATTGATAATTGAAATTAATCAAATAATCATATTAAATTAACAACTTTAATAGATTATTAATCATTAAAAATGTGCTAATATAGGTATTTAATCATCAAACGGTTATCCACAAAAATATGCCTTAATTAATAATCATTACGATTATAAATCATTATTTAACAGGTCTGGTATATTTGAATTTGTACTCGCCTCAATGGTTTACAATATTCCCAAATAAAAGGCATAATATTTTGTGTACTTTGTATTAAACTGTCGAAATCAAATAAAACCGGGCATGAATAAATCGTTTTGTACTTGGCACAAGTCTAGCCATTTTCGAACTCGAATCGGTTTCAGTCAGGAAATTCTAGTTGTAAACTAGTATTTTTCCTGACTAGTTTGGGGTTTCACTGCAGTGAACCCTGCAGCGAAAGCTACTAGTTATGAACTAGAATTCTAGCAGTTTGCGTGTCAGCACAATTAGTTTACATTTTTCCTTTTTCAATGTTAGCGACTAGTAGTTTTAACATGGCGATGTCCTACGAGATTTCAATTGTCTGGATATACATCAGCATCTAGTAGTAGAAATACTAGTAGCATCATATCATTTAATGGGATAGTCTGCCAATTCATTCCCCATGAAAGCATAAGTATTAGGGTGACTGGCTCGGTTTTTTCAAACCAGTTTCCCCCGTTTTTTTGGCTGTCTACAGGCGGTTTTTTGAAAACTTGATTTTTCGAATATCAAATAAACCGGATTTTATTACCGAGCAAGCCGTTTTTTTCATTTCATACAAATCTTGACCTCTCAATAAATAATAAATGTTTAAAGTTTTTCGAAGTTTTCAAAGCTTTTTCCAGTTTAAAAAAAAACCCCTAAATAGTTATAAAATTTTATCCTAGGATATTTAGGAGTACACAACATATTATATTTGATTCCTATAAATGAATGTGCTTAAACGTTTTCTACATGTTTGGCCGAGCTTCTTCTTCAATTTTTGTTCTGTTTCTTGATGTTGTGAAACAAATGGAGAGACCTACACCTTTACTCCACCTTTGCTTATGCTTTTTTATAGCAGAAATACAATCGAAGGTTAAAAAAAAAATTTGTTTTTGATGTCGCTGGGACCTTAAATTGAACTCAAAACCGAAAGGAATCAGAAAAAGTGCAATAAAGTATTAAAAAGTTAAAATATTACCAAACTTGAATTTTCCACTGACTCTTATTTGCTTTACTTTTGATATAAAAAACTTTGAACTTATTTTGTTTCGCTAATAATAATAATTTTATTGTAATTTTTGGACATGACTTCATACCAACATGAGCCTTTTCACTGTATAAAAACTATGTAAAATAAAAATTGTTCCTCCAGTTTTTTCTTAACTTTTCAAATTGCAATTTTTCGAATAACTCGAAACCCAGTTTTGGAAAAAAGGCGAATAATCGAACACCCTTATAAGTATGCCATTTTGCTCGCGGCGCTGCAACAGTCGCAATGGCCGATAGAGCAAAGCATCCGGTTATTCGAATTTTTATTGTCTGAATTATACGGATATTCAACAAATCCGGACAGAACTCCCAGTCGTAGTACCTATCTATTTCTGTACGATGCACTGTGCGAAAATATCTACATATATTTACAGGCCGATTCTGAACAGAAACTCCCTGGGAGTTTTCTCTCTTTTCCCTTTTCTCCTATCATAAATAAAAATTCCCTGAGGATTTTTTATATCAAATGGCGGTGTTGAGCTGAAGTGTCAAACAGCTGTTGAGAAGTTCGAATTTTCTCCTCCCAAACTTTCGGGGAAAATGCTACTTCCTGGGAGTTAATTATTGGAGGATTTCTTTCTCAGGAGAAACAAATTCCCGGATAACAAACTCCTTGGAGGTATTCAGAATTTGGCTGATATTAAATAATTATTCGAGGTTATATTCTTATTACCATATGTACATATGTACATTTAATCAATACACATATATATAACGTCGTTTAAAGTACAAAACCGCGTATCGTCATTCTGCAAAACCGCGTAACTGACATTGGCTGCCAAAAATTGGATTTGCTCACACAAGCCCTTGGCTCAATCCTTATCCATTCATCCTGAAATATACTAGCCAAAAATGCGATTTCTTTATAAAAAAAGAGAACCTTTTGAAATATGGGTGTTTTTACTCTCTAGAAAATAATTTATGCGACTTAACATACGCGGTTTTGCATTTTCTTGATACGCGGTTTTGTACTTCTTCGATAAGTATCTATTTAAAAATTATTATTATTATTTTTTTTTTCTTTTTAAGGCAACTAAAATGTCGGGGCACCGTAAATGGCGATGATGGAAAATTCAATGTCCATGACTTCGTACGCGACAATACGCGAGCACGAACAATGTGTGCGCAGTGCAAGTCGATGTAGACTTGGTTTTACTTTCCAAAGAAAATATGGAACACTATTTTGAAGCGAAGTAGATGGAATACGAGTATTCTATCTTGAAGATTGAAGATTAGGATTATGTGGCAATGTTCAGTAATTTGAATAGCTTTATTAGGCATGATAGTGATGTACGAAGAAACATCCCTACAAGATCATTTTATTAATCGTATGTAACTCATTGATGATGGAAATGTTCATCAAACACTCCCATCTTCTTCAACTTATGGCCTTATTTAATAGTCTCTTTTTAACCAACGCAAAATTTGCAAATATGTTAGTAACATAATCGAGAATGTGTTAGTTTCCATCACTCGAGTCAATTCTCAATCATTAATTGAATTATTAATTCTTGTAGGGATGTTTGAATGAATGTTCACATACATGTGGCAGACAACGTAAATGTTTGTGTGAGCAAGTGTAGCAAAATGCGTACAAGAAAATACATATGTATGTACATAAAAAAAACATTTATGTATTTATTTCAGGTGCCAGTTTATCCAGGCTTCTTCTACCCTGCTTTTCAAAAGAACTAAATTTAAGCTGTCATTCTAGCCTGGTTTAAGTTATTTGGAAAACAATACCACCTTAAGAGTTTGAAGTGAAAACTTATTATTAAGTTGCATTTATAATAAAAAATAATAATGGTTTTGTAAATTATTTTAAGTGAAAAAGTTCAAATTTTTAAAAGCAGCTGAGTATTTATATTTGTGTTTATGAACATAATCATTTAATAAATCTGTAATTCCCACAGTGCAAACTAATATAAAAAGTGTTGTCATACCGATTATTGGGTTTTATTATGCCATATTTTGTTAATTTCTTTACTGTGCACAACTAACGAATAAAAGAAACAATTTTACGAAGTTTTCTGTTTATACCTAAGATGCGGTCATAATATAGGATGATCTAATATCGTTGTAAATGAATTGGTAAGTAGTAATACGGGAGTTTAGCCATCTCTATAATAAAGTATCATTTATTTCTTCTTTTGCGAAGAGGTAGGTACTCAGCGTGGCATACTTAGGCTATTTCTAGGGGGTACCTGGCGGTAGGTATAAAACGCCCCCCTAATCCAGGGTGTACCAGGTACCTATTGGATGGTTTGGAGTCAGGGGGCTCTTCCGACTGTATTTTATACCGGATACCTGTCCGGCTCCGGGAGTAACGGTGGACTTACCGCAGCACGGGGCTCTGCTGTGGCCGACCGTTCTTTCCCCTTACCGTTATGCACGGTCGCCGAACGGTTTCGGCTCAGTAGGCGACCAAAGAACCAGATGCTATGAATACGAATAATGAAGCCCCGGATCCCTGCACGGGTAAAAATGACGCCGACGGACACGGCGTTATAAATAGTCAAGAGAAATCTTCGGTAGCCACTGGAGCGGTCCCGAAGAAGCCTTCACGGCCATTTAAATCTAATATTGAGTCCAGCGTTGGTAGCTGCAAACCCTCGGAGGGTAGCGAGCGACTGGCGTCTGGGATGCTAACGGAGCCTACCCGGCCGATGGACCTCTCGTGCCAGGCGTCCTCATCAAAGCGGCAATGAGCCCACCCCAAACCCAAAGAGACAAGTGACTACCGCGCCCCCTCTTGCAGTGCATGCGGCCACAGTCATCAACACCTATAATACAGCCATATACCACCAGACAGCAACAACCAGAGCGGAAAGCACAACTGGACCAAGGTAGAACACCTCATACATCTCTCACCCTCCACTTCGAGGTCAATCTCCTAAGACACACGAAACGTAACACAATTGAACTGCAACGGACTCGAGAGCAAAATCGAAGAGATACCCGTATTCATGGGTCGTGCAGCATATTGGTAGCTGCGATCCAAGAAACGAAGTTGCATAGCAATTCAGTACTGCTAGAGAACGCCAAAGGCGTTTGCCGCCGTCTGTCATTCCACGCTATTAGAGGAAATGGAATCTTCCTCTCTCCCCAGGCACTCAAACGGTGTACATAGGGGTATTTGAACGATTTAGGCGGCCATAAACCAATTTGACAAAATTTTAAAGGAAACTAAAATAAATAGTCACATTAGATAGAGAACATTCCAAATAACATTTTCCAGTCTCCCTCACTTTTCTAACTTGCACAGCGAACGCTCACCGTTGACCGGAAACAGAATACTCTAACGCTGCTTATAAATAAATGTTTGCTCTCTATAAAGATCGTGAAAGTTTTATGTAAATATTTTGATTGTTGCATTGTATTCTTAAAAAGTAATGATTAAATTTTAGTTAAATTTTTTAATCATAAAATGATGAAGCAAAAATTCAATTTAAATGTTACGAAAATAGCGGTTTTCCACTAGTATTTTTTTTTTTAATATTAAGGAATTTGTTTGTATCCCCGGGAGAAATCGCTTTATTATTCTATGTTCAATTGAAATTTGGTAATGTACTGTGAAAAGATTGCCCACAGAAAATGGCATATAAGTGGTATTTCTCTACTTAGAAAATGTATTAAAGAAAAATCTTAAAACGCAACTATTATATAGTAACACTACTTTAGATCTATTTTAACACTAAACTTAAACTTTTTAGACGAATTTAAAGCCACTGAACCAGAATATGAATCTATTTAAATAAAAAAAAAATAGTTTTCGATATATAAGCAAAAGTCATGTTTTATAGACCTTTCGGTCGCGTTGCTAGAAATCTGCGGGCATGTAAAGCGAAAACAACTATGTTATGTATTTCGGAATAAACATTTATTTTCTTTTACATTGATGTTATATAAGTGATGATTAAAGAAATAGTTTTGGGTATACAAGCGTTAAAATTTAGATAAATGTCAATTTAGATAAATCCACGATATTTCAGTAAATATTGTAATTTGGATTGAAAATTGTGAAGTAAAATTTTGGAACAAAATAGGATTAATATGAAATGTTTGGATAATGGGAGTGGCGGGCACTTATGATGAAATGCTGTATCTTAGTATCCGTTATGAGCCTTGCTTAGGGTATATCACACATACACATCCGCTAAAAATACTTGAAATCAAGCGATAACCACGCCCACTACCCATATAACGGTAATTTACAGAAACACGAAAACTGCGATAAATCGATTCTTGGTATAAACTCTTAGCATTAAATTAGATTATTATCATTTTTTGGATAATGGGCGTGGCGTCGCCCACTTATGACTACAAATGTATATCTCGGTAACCGATTTATCAATTTGTACCAAACTCGGTGCACTTAGTAACCTTCTGTTTCAGTAATTGAGGACGCTTATTTACTCCAAGTTGACACCTACAACATGGCAACTGGTGAGAGGTTGCTTAGAGATAAAGCGTTTTCAAAGCCATTTCCATTGATAGCCATATCACACTAATTGAACAAAAACTTTTAACAGATGGCAACTCTGTTAAAGTTTTAACCTAAATACAAACCTCGGTATATCCAGTAAACGAACTGAAAAATTTAAGCACCAAATGTATGAAATATTAGAGATTCGCTTCACATCATTAATAAAACATAACGTAATTGAACTTTTTTATTTTGATAATATTAATTAATGCTTTTTTTACAAGTCCAAGTGGTCAAAAAAATATTTGTAATGAAATAATTTTGTTAAATGCAAACCATATTAAACGGAAACACACATATATTTGGATTTACTTAATTTAAATGGTGAAACATGTTTTATAACTTGACTAGCAAATACCCGGCGTGCTTCGCGACGCCTCGTGAGTAATTTTGCATCAAAGTTAAGGAGAAACCGTATTGAAACTCAAATGGGAAAGCCTCTTTAGGGGAAGAATTTTGCCTTTATTAGTATACATAATTCATCTGGCCGGCCATTGTAACCCTAGTACATACATATAATGTGTTGTAATCAGTTGGTACTAATAATAAAAGTTAAGATCTATCGTCACAAATCAGTGCCGTATCAGTTAGGTATTGCTAGTCAGCATCGATCAGGGATACCAATTCACACACATCCGTAGCACGTCGTCGGGTACTTTCAGTAAAATGAAGTTCATTGAAACCAAGATGACTTATTTTACTAATGTTTAATTGGCAATTATTGCCAAATTATATAATTCTGGATAATTCCGTACCAACTCGATTACTAAACTTGCAATAGAATACCGCCAGCTCGTCAGTGAAATACACAAACAAATATTTGCCGAGGTAACTAAACTCTAAAAAATGTTTGTTTGAATTCAAGCATATTAAAAAAGGTAACCAGTTTCCTCTCTTAATGTATGTAAAATTTGTTAATCAACTTAAATACTGCTTTTTAACTTTTACTTACCATATGTGTGGCGTAGAACAAATTTGAAATTTTTTTGTTGAATTCTAAACACTCTAGGCCAAATTCACAAAGCGTAGTTAACTCAGAATCGGCAGTTAACTACAGATTTTCAGTACAGCACTGTGAATTTGGCCCTTAGGGCCGTTAATTTAACTATTTTAAATCATTAGTTATACTAAACTACAAAAATTTCCATAGAATTTTCTTAGTGTTCACAATTACACAGTTTGCACATAAAATGTTTAAAATTTGCTCTAAAAGTTTTTTGTTTAAAGTAACGCATTTTAAGAGAGGTTACCAGTTTCTTCTCTTAATTTAGACACCGTTTTCATAAAATTCATTGAGGTCGATAAATAAACGCAGATCTAATTCCGAATGCAGGCATCGTTCCTACACTGAAAATAAAATCTGCGTAATTATAACGAAAACTTGCGTAAATCTTACGAAATTTTTCGTCATTTTGAGCCACGAAAGTTTTCGTTGATTGTACAAAACCGTTTTCGTATATACTACGAAAATATGAGCATTTTACGAATGTATTCGTACTATTTACTAAAGAATTTAGTACTATTTACTAAAGAATTTCGTACTATTTACTAAAAAAATACGTACTATTTCTTTATTTTGTTACGAACTTTTGTAAAATGCACAGAAATAATTCGTATATTTAACGAAATAACTTTCGTAAAATCTGCTCTTGTTTCGTAGAATGTGCTATTTTGCTTTCATTCTGCACACTGTAAAAAACATATTACGAATTATAACACAACACTTTTATTTTGTTTTTTTCGTTAATTTTAAAACTTTTTGTTTATCAAAACGTTTTGCAAAAACGCTTAACGGGTGGGCTTTAGTAGTCAGCCGCACCTTGTGTTTTAAGAAAACCAGGTGGAATTAACAAATGAAACTTGGTCAGGATGTTAAGGGAGGTATCCTCTAAAACATGTATAACTAAAAAATATAAATAATATCATTGTTTATAAGTTATTTGTTGTTAAAATTTCTTAAGTCGTTAAACTTGGTTCCTTAACAAAAAAGCATTTGTGTATAAATGCACATAACACTGTACTTAATACTTTACACACTTTTCTTTTATTTTATCTTGTATATAAATCACTTTAATTAAACTTTTATCGACTTGTAAATTACATTGAATTTCACGCATATTTACAATAAGACATGGTTTCAAACTGACACATAACATGTGTTGCCATATTGTACAAAACAATACATACAAAGAAGGCAATGATTAAAAAGGAATACAGGGGAAATCAATACAAAAGAAAATGTTCAGCTCCTTTTCTTCGCAAAACAGAAAGGAGAATTCTATTACCTGAGGGTTATAATCCCTAAGTGCGGCCGAAGGCCGCCTACGCAGAAAGGTGTTCTCTGCAAAAGGTGTTCAGCTCCTTTTCTTCGCAAAACAGAAAGGAGAATTCTACTGCCTGAGGGTTATAATCCCTAAGTGCGGCCGAAGGCCGCCTACGCAGAAAGGTGTTCTCTGCAAAAGGTGTTCAGCTCCTTTTCTTCGCAAAACAGAAGGGAGAATTCTACTGCCTGAAGGTTATAATCCCTAAGTGCGGCCGAAGGCCGCCTACGCAAAAAAGTGTTCTCTGCAAAATGTGTTCAGCCCCCCCCTTCTTCGGCAACACAGAAATAATAATTCTACTAAGTAAAAATTCCGAATTAAAAATCCGCTTTTATTATTCAAAATTCCAGTCTGGTAGCACTAAGTTGTATGTTATTTTGCTATCTTATTCATCGTTTATATGAAAACTTTAACAATAAATTATATAAGAACTATAGGGTTGCTAGAAAAAAGGGGGGTAGTTTTGAAATCAGGGGGTCCTATTCCACCCCCCCTCATCCCCCCTTTTTCTAGAATTTGCCGTCCGTCTACTAAAATTTTCCCCGCTTAACATTATTGATTGAAATATAATGAAAGTGTTGTGCAATAATTTTAGTCATGTTTTTTATAGTGTTAAAAGCAATCATACGTTCTACGAAAGAAGAATTTTCTGATTACACTTTAGTTTAGAATTAATAAAAAATGATATTTTACCTATAATAAGACTTAAGTCTTTTATTTATATGCATACGAATAGGTTCCGAATACAGAGATGTAGATTTCGTAAATTTTAAAACCATACGTGAATATTACGAATACAATATACAAATTATTCGTAGAGATTTGTTCAGTGCTTTACCAGTGTGTTCCGTAAAATAATCGTAAGATTTCGTTTGCTTTCGGCTCTCGTTTGTCTTGACAAGTTTATTTTAGCATTAGGCATTTTTAAACACTTCGCACTATTCTGTTATTTTAAAGGTTTTTTTTATATATATATATTTAGTAACGAAATTCCACTTTGTATAAGCCAAAAAACTCTGCCTTTAACGCACTTGCTAATTTATCGACTTCGCGAAAACAATACCGATGTGCACACTTCAAGCATCAACACAAAATGAGGTTGTTGTTTTTGTTTCCAATGCGATGCTCGCAAACCACGCTACAAACGACGAGCATGCTCGCTGAAAATCAAAATTGTTTGATTTTTGACGCGCATGCTCGCAAACCGCCCTACAAACGACGAGCATGACCCGCAAGCCGCGCATATGCGCGGATATGCTCGTCGTGTGTAGCTACTGTTAGGGTAAGAAATAGTGGAGCGGCGAGCAAAGAGCATTAAGCAAAAGCGTCGATTTCAAAGGCATATGTTTCAATGGGAAAGCGCATAGTGGAGAGCAAAGCATACATACACGTTTGTAATTGAAGCTTTACTCGATGCTAGCTCTTCGCTTTGCTCGACCCTCCACTATGTTTTGACCCTTAGTTGAAACGGTGTTACTTCTTTAACACTTCTTTGCCTAATAATATAGTTGAATTTTTATATTTTTTTCTCAGTATACACATTTTGTTTTCTTAAAATGTTATTTTCAGCTGGGCTCCCGTTTCCGTATTCGCAAAAATTTTGCGTTTTATGGGCTGTTTTTGCTTACGCGTAAAAGCACATTTAGCGCATTTAGCTCTAAATGCTACTCTAAATGTACATTTATCCATACAAAATTCGTCACCTAAATGCAACTAAATGCAACTCCATTTTTGCATTAAGAATCTAAATGCCAAAGCAACCCTGTGATCTTCCAAAATTTCCACGATTCGAACATGGTTTAAAGAGAAAAAGTGGTAACATTGCTTTTACGAGTATACAGTTGCTAGCTGCGTTTCAGTGATCGCCGATTGAGATTTCTTTTATTTTACATTACATATTTGGATAAAGAAAAGTTAAGCAAATTCAACATCGATGTGATGCTGATAGAAATCTGGATCAATTTGTGATCAACTCTGTTTGGTTTGTTTCCTAATTAGGTGAGGAAATTTTAATTGACAGCACCGACAAATGAATATATACACAAACAAATGTTTGGTTATGGTTATAATCATTCAAGTTTTTGTATTGAATTTTTGGTTTAAAATTTATTTTTTCCTTTTCAGTATGGTTTTTGCACATTTTCTTCTGCGTGAGAATTGATCGTAATATATACGGATCTAAATAAGAGACTGGAACACGGCTGTTTAACAAAAGCATACGATTTCGAACTCGCGTAAATGTACATTTGCTAAATGCTATAGCATGAACGCTCTTCGAAAACATATGTTCGAAAGTGCTAAATGTTGCATTTTAAATGCAGCAAAAACGCTGCATTAGTTTTCAAATCGCAAAACAACGTGCTCCAAAATTCGCAAATCGGAAAATTTTTGCGGTTTCAAATCGGTTGCCGATGAGACGGTGGAATGAAAAGTAAACGGCAAATTAACATAAATAACAAGCTAGCTTAGTTTAAATTTATTTTTGATTATGCCCATTATATCTTGCGATATTTTTGGCGTCCTAAAATTAACTTTATATGTTGATTTTATTTGTTTAATTCACTATTTATTATACACATCTCCGTTTTGGGCAACGAAAGTTTATCGAAGCAACGAAGATTTACGATTTGGTGCGGACGATACATGTGCGATAATTGTTGCATACCTTCAAGGATTGGCTTTTTATAATAGGTTCATTCCTTATCTTTTTGGACTAAAAATTTGGTTTTTTGCGTTCCTTTACTTTTCCTGTTACTCTCTTTTAGTGAGCGCATTTTGCTTACGCTCTGGCATTTTGACACTTTTCAGATTTTAGTCCAAAGAATGGCAACAACAAAACTAACGTCAAATAAGAACAGAAATGTATGTACAAAACACATTCACACAAGCACAAGCACAATAAACACTTGCTATATCAATTATTTTTTGCCTCCTTCCAATTTCAATTCATTTCTTTTACTTTTTAGATTATTCTCACTTTTTGCGTATTCTTTAATTTCCGTTAATTTAAATTCAGTTGAGTTTGACACTTTTCAGGATTTTGCCAGAAAAAATTCTTCTGACTAAATCTGACTACTTCGGACTGATGAGAGTCGCTCTCACTGACTGTTGCTCTCTCATTTTTGCTGTCATTTCCGAGTTAAGGAACGCTTTTTGGACTAAATCTGACTACTTCGGGCTTTTTCTGACTATTTCTGGGAGATAAGGAACGCGCATAATGCTGGAAACGATGTTGAAAATGGAACTTATCGATAACAAAAAGTGGCGAATTCAAGAGCACCCAAAAATAAAAACGTACGATTTTTACGACAACGCAAAACGCAAAAGTAAATGAAAATGAAAAATTTCATTACGAATATACTATAAAAAAGCAAATTTTGTTTAGAAGATAATAGGAAATTTTATACATTTCCCCCGAACGGGGATTAATTTCTTCCCGTTTTTCTTCTTATTCTACTGAGGCAGTGTCAAAATCGAGCTGTCACAACTGATACCACCTTGTATTATTGCATCATGAGGAATTTTGACATTTTTGATACTTCATAACCTGTTGCCTCACTCTTTCCTCAAGAAATAATGGAACGGGCATATATTTCTGTTGCAAAACCTGGGTTGCCTTGTGCTCTTTTTCACAAAAAACTTTAGAAAACCGTAGTAGAAAGCGTAGCAAATTCCTTAAAAACTGCTTACTGCTCACGGTGCAGCGTACTTGTGCAGTGCACTTGTGGTACACAAATGTCAACGGCCAGGACGGCGCAATCTTGTATTCTATCATTCTTGCGTACTGCTTTAAGGAAATTTGACTCGAGAAAATTTCTGAGCCATTTCTTGTACGTCATTTTATATGGAGTTTTTGCTTTTCTTGATAGCTACATACTGGACTTTAACGCGTCGTATGCTGCACTTCTGCCTAAATTGGCCCTAAGGCGTACGCCACACAAATCGAAGAAGCTCGACCAAATAGGTGGCAAAAAACCAAGAACGTAAATCTTTACGTTATTTACGTTCTTGGTCGGCAGTCTATTTCGAACCAGTATTTTAAGTATGAACGGCAGCTCTACGTAAAAACGTCATTTTGACAACTTTTACTTTGACGTTTATCTTTTCTTACGAACGTGCTTTCGTTGGAACACATGGTGTTTTGGGCAAATTTCCGAGTTAATCTTCAGATTATAAAATAATTAGCACACTATGGCGGAGGTTTTCCATCGGCCGGGTCCGTTGAAACAAACCAATAAAGCCCATAAAACCGGGCGACATCGGTCGAAAGGAGCTATTGAAAGTGCATTAAAGGGACGTGTTTCGCTTAAAGCGGTGTCACACAAGCACAAACAGGAACAACGCAGAGAGCAGCGTCGCAACCAAATGAACCAAGTGCGTATATTAAAATTGATCTTTACACTTTTAAAAGTAGTTGTTGTATACAGATTCGAAAAAAGAAGCGTGAAGAAGCGAGATTGGAAAAACAACAGTTGGGAACTCAAACCTCTCCGCCGTTTTTGGTTTGTATATTGCCAATGCATCAACAAATCGATGCAAGATCTGCATTAGCTATACTAGAAAGTTGTGATGAGGAAGCTGTGGTCCAACGCACAGAAACGGGTGTTACGTATATAAATCTACCACGCTTTAAGCAGCGCTTTTCCTTCTTAATTCCCCCCATTGGACGAGGCAATGAAGTGGAGGTATTAGATTACTTAAAAGTTTGTGATACCACTCTACTTTTAACTTCTGCGGCCATGGGAGAGAACGATGTATTCGATCGTTGGGGACACCGTATTTTTAACATGATATCTGCTCAAGGTCTACCTACTCCTATTGTGGCACTAATGGATTTAGAGTCGATCAACCCCAAAAAACGGAGCGAAGTGAAAGCCTCTGTGCAAAAATTTATATCCAAACTACTACCAAAAGAAAAAGTAATGCAGCTAGATACCAATGCTGAAGGTCTGAACGTTATGCGTCGCATTGGTGGACAAAAAAAAATTGTAATTCCAAATAAAGCGAACCGGCCGCATTTATGTAGCGATAAAGTTGAATATGAATCTGATCCGAACCAATTAGATGACAAAATTACTTTAAAAGTAACAGGCTTCTTACGCGGTGCACCTCTTAGTGAAAACTCACTTGTTCACATTCCTGGTTTGGGAGATTTTCAGATGCAACAAATTAAAACTGCATTTGATGACTACAAGTTAGATAAACGGCCCGAGTCGCAGCTAGTTCCTGTTATTCGGGTATCGGACCACGAAAATCAAACATCTTTACAATGCGAAAATGTACCAGACGCTATGGATGCAGAACAAACGTGGCCAACTGAGGACGAAATCAAAGCAGCACAACAAGAAACCAAAAAAACGAAATTGATTAAACGTGTACCCAAAGGGTGGAGTTCGTACCAGGCCGCATGGATACCTGACATCGAAGCAGTAGAAGCCACAGAAGATGCAAGTGAAGAAGACATGAACGAATCTGATGACGAAGAAAATGCAGGGGACGATGAATTTATGTCGTGTGAAAATCAGTCCTTTGATGAAGAAGTGCAAAAACCCGATTCTGATACAGAGGAGTACGTAGAAACTGCTTCAGTATCTGACGCTGCGATAAACGACGAAAAATATGATCTCCAAATGGACTTCCACGAAGAGCGGGAAACAATGAAAAAAATTAAAGATGCTCGCGTTGATGAGCTATGGCCTGATGAAATTGATACACCTCTAGATGTCGAAGCGAGGGACAGGTTTCAAAAATATCGTGGGCTAGAATCGTTTAGGTAATAAAAATACTAAAGTAGCAGCTTAAAAATTTCTAAGTATTTTTTCTTATTAGAACATCGCCATGGGATCCAAAAGAAAATCTGCCTTATGACTATGCTCGCATCTATCAGTTTCAGAACTTTGATCGGACAAAACGGCGAATCGTTTCGGAGGCCAAAGACGTTGATGGATTTAAGGTAAAATGTCTGATTCCCAACTGAAAAAGGTTGTAAATTACGGATGTACTTATTTAGCACGGCGCTTACGTAACAATATACATCATAAATGTACCAGGCGAAAAGTGGCGAGCTTATATATCGGCTCGTAAGTGCAATATCTTGGTGATATATGGGCTACTCCCTCATGAACATCAAATGTCTGTGGTGAACGTTGTACTCAAACGGTTACCCGACTCAGAGGCCCCAATAAAATCGAAAGAGACCTTAATCATACAGTGTGGTTACCGCCGTTTTATTGTTAATCCCATCTTCAGTCAACACACCAATGGCGATAAGCACAAAGTAAGCCAAAATACCAAAATTATTAAAACGAAAGTACTAAATCGTTTGCATAATTTTATTTTTTTTTTTATAGTACGAACGCTACTTTCGGCCACATACAACTGTATGTGCTACATTTTTTGCGCCAATACAGTTCCCTCCTGCACCTGTGTTAGCATTTAAATTAAATCCTGATTCAACTTTAGCGTTGGTTGCACGCGGTTGTCTGTTATCTTGTAATCCTGATCGTGTTGTGCTTAAGCGCATCGTTTTGAGCGGACATCCAATGCGTATCAACCGCAAATCGGCCACTGTACGTTATATGTTCTTCAATAAGGAAGATGTGGATTACTTTAAGCCGGTTAAGCTACGCACAAAATGTGGACGCTTGGGGCATATAAAGGAATCCCTAGGAACACACGGACATATGAAATGCGTATTTGACGGGCAGCTTCGATCGTATGACACAGTTTTTATGTATCTCTACAAACGAGTTTATCCTAAATGGACCTATGAGGAATGCTTAATACGCTGTGAAAAGGACGGGGAAAACCCTGAGGATGTAACAATGGAATAATTCAAATTGTAAATAATTTCAGAAGTAAATATTAATTTAAATGAGCTCATATGTATTTACTTTACTTAAAAAAGTGTAAGCCTTATTAAAAAACAAAATAGATAATTCACTTTTCTTACAACAAAAATGTGGGTCATCATTTTTGTTATTTTTATTTATATATGTACGTGAAATGCAGCAAACCAAAATGCCTATTGGTCTAAAAGGGCGATATTGGCAGAGAACGTATAGTCAATCAATAAAGTTTAGGTACATTTTATTTTTCTCAAATTTTTATAAAAATATGTTTAATTCTACAGCATAAACCCCAAAAATCAGAGCTCCAAACCTTGTACAAAATTAAAGAAAATGCAAATTTTCATTCAAATGTTGCACTTTTTAATTGCAGTCTTTTGAAAAAAGTTTAGTATGCCGTCTTTGATCCCATTCAATTTTAGTATAGGACTTAAAAAAGATTTTTGACAAATTTGTTTGTTGAAGGTGTTGCTCATTATCTCTATATAAAAAAATTTTCGATTACCTCAGACTTGCACATTATTATACTAAAATTTAATGGGCTAAAAACATACTTAGATTTTTTCTCAAGATTGTACTTAAAAATGGTTATATTTTGATGAAAATTTTCAGAATTTTCTTTAATTTTGCACAAGGTTTGGAGCTCGAATTTTTGGGGTAGAATTAACCAAATTTTTAAACAAGCTGCGAAAAATAAAATAATTAAGAGCAGTTGCTCGTATTGCAAAAAAATCGCTGTACCCTAACTTTATTGATTGACTGTACGAAATCTATGGCTGCGTTTCTTTACACATTCCGGATAATCCCATTTCACAGCCGGAATAAACAGAATGCCTTTGAAATATACGTTAACATATCATCAGGAACGTTCTAAAGAATAAGTAAACAAAAAAGTTTATTCCAAACGTTCAGAATGAATAAAGAAATGCAGCCTATAGAGAACGTTTCCTCGATCCAAAGAACGTAAATATACTTGGTTATTTTACTTTTAGCTAGTCACTAGATGTCGCTGTTTCATGAATCTTTTCTGAGAAATTTCTCAATTGTGGTTCATTTTTAACCGAGAGATGTCGTCGTTTTTCCACAAAAATGACAGCTGCTTGACATACAACAAATAGACAGACGTGTCAATTGACATCGAAATGAAGATTGGTGTTTTGTTCGCGGCGCAGAATATTTTTACTTTTTTTTTAATTTGAGTAAAAATTTCAACAAATTTTAAACTAAACTAAGTACTCCGTCTCCACAAAGGATACTGTATTCGCGCGGAGTAACCTGAAGACGCATTAGTAAATATTTGTCAAATACGGGCAGACGGAAAACGTTTTGAGTCAACATGGCGGGGCAAAAATTTCAATACGATGAAAGCGGTGGCACATTTTATTATTTTCTATTATCCTTCTTGGCATTAATACTTGTACCAACGACTATTTATTATTGGCCACGTAAAAAGAAGGAAGGTGAGTAATACCGAGTAGCAGTTTCGATTGAGCTGCTCCCCTTGCAGTTTGCGGTTAATAAGTTGGGCAAGTAGATCAGATAGGAAAGGTAGCAACTCAACGGGGCTATAAATGACACGTTCTATTAAGAAGCACAAAAAGTCGTGTTGTGGTGAAAGCGGCTTAAATTAGCAGCACTAAATATCACGATGCGACGACATCAGTCAATGAAAAGCTTGTCGGAATAATCCAATAAGAAAACACGACTTCAAGTGACGAGCTTGCTTCAATTGTAATAACTAGATTGAAGACCCGCGGGGACGGAAGTGCATTTTACAATTATTATTCATAGCAAGTTTTTACATAAACTATGCGGTTAGGGTTTGAAAGAAACTTTGCCAATGATTATTAACTTGCATTTTGTCACACATAAATTGTCTGTTTAGAATTTCTTAAAGTATCTAATATATTACAGCGTTTAAGCAGTTCACTTAAAAACATTTTTTATTTAAGTTGTATGTATCTATGTATATATGTTTTATTTTTAATTACAGATCCTAATAAACTTAAAGAGGAATGCCAATGTCCGGACTGTATAAGAAAGAAAGCCATCTTGGCACAAGCGGAGCCATACCGTATGCTGAAGTCATTCCTTATAAAGCTATGTATAGTTTTTGGTTGGGCACTACTCATATTACTGGCTTATCGCGTTTCGCAATTCGATTATGAAATGGCCAGCTTTGATCCATTTGAGATCCTGCAGCTGCCACCAACTGCAACTATGGAAGAAATAAAAAAAACTTACCGCGAATTGTCACGAGTCTTACATCCGGATAAGCCAACTGGAGATGAGAAATCCTTTATGATGCTGCGCAAAGCCTATCAGGCTCTCACCGATGAAACAGCCAAACAGAATTATGAGAAATATGGTAATCCAGATGGGCCAGGTGCTATGTCGTTTGGCATAGCGTTGCCTTCATGGATTGTGGAAAAAGAAAACTCGGTTTGGGTGTTGGGACTTTATGGTTTGATCTTCATGGTGGCTTTACCATCTGTTGTGGGCATGTGGTGGTATCGTTCCATTCGTTTTTCTGGTGACAAAGTTCTTTTAGATACCTCGCAAATGTATTTCTTTTTCATACATAAAACGCCACATATGTTGCTGAAGCGTGCGCTCATGATTTTAGCAGCTAGCTTGGAATTCGATAAACGGCACAACTCGCAAGTAGTCGAGCGGCAATCTGACAATGAAGAAGTACCAGCAGTGAGTACAAGTAGCTATGTAAAATAGTTATACTTTTATTACTTAAGCATTATTTTTTTTTTTTAATCAGCTCATTAGGCAACTGCCTAATTTGAATGAGAAGTGCAAGGAACACCCTCTATGCCGAATGTATTCCATTAAAGCACGAGCAATTTTACATGCTCACCTATCACGCATGCCACTGAATCCAGAAACTCTAGAGAAAGATCGGCAGTTTATTGTAAAAAAATGTCCATATCTTATTCAAGAAATGGTTTCCTGTGTACATCAGTTGGTAATGTTGGCATACGCGAGACGAGTTCCACGTCTTCCGAGCATTGAAACAATAGAAAATTGTATGAAACTGTCACCTATGATTATACAAGGTCTATGGGAGTACAAATCCCCCTTACTTCAGTTACCTCACCTCACAGAAGACCAACATCTTTACTATATAAATAAAAAGCGGCACATCAAGAATTTGCAACAATTCGCACAGTTGAAACCCGATGAATGCAGACAGTTGTTAAAAAGTCTTTCAGATTTTGAGTACGAAAATGTAATGAAAGTGCTGGGAAAATTGCCATTGATTGACTTTTCCATTCGTTGCGAAGGTAAATTAATTATAAATAAGGAAGGCACAACTCAGCTGAATTTCATATATGTACATAATTTGCAGTTATTGATGATGAGAATACTAACGTAGTAACAGCAGGAGCTATAGTAACTGTTACCGTAACGTTGGTACGTAAAGATATGAAGACGTTATTTGGAGATGCTAAAGTACCAGAAAAGCAGGGTATAAAGTAAGTGCATTTTAACTCTGACATTAGCTGCGTTCGATAACTAAATTAGTTATTACCAGCCATCAATCCAAATCAGGAGCGTAGACGTTAAGGCGGATGCATCGTTCTAGTTCTGAATTAAAGTCGAAGTTGAGTTCACAAATCAAAAGCATTCAGAACTTTTCTCATTTGCTATCCCAGAGAGAAAAACACAACAACAACCACATGGAAGAAAAGATCTAACTATAACGATGAATCCGCCTTTAACGAACATTATATTATGTATGTATAACCGACATAAAAGGAATCATTAAATATAGAGGCATGTTGCATGATTAAAATTTTCATTTATAGAACTCTTATCTTGATCAAAAATTAACCTCTGCAGGCAAATTTTCAGTAATTCGTGCTCCGTTACTTTCATTTCACTTTTATTTGGGCGTTGCTTTTTGTTTTCGCTTAAACTGATTTTTATAACTTTGTTGTTTTTTGTGTTTAATAATTTGAACGCGCCATTTTAATAATAAATACAAAGGAGCGAAACTTTCATCCAAAACAAAAAAAGAATAAAAAAAATTTGTAGGTAGCAATAAAAATTAGGTTTGGGCTTTATCGATACCAAAAGTACTCGAAACTCGATTCGCGAAAGGATCGACAGCATCCAATTTTTAAAAGTATCGATACTGAGTACTCCAAAGTACCCAGTACTCACAAAAGAGCTCGAAAGTACTCAGAACCTAAAAGAACTCGAAAGTACTAAGTAGAAATGATTGCACTCAATTTGAAGTTTCAATAGTTTTAAAGAAGCCATTCATTTAACGTAATTTGGGATTAATATATTAATTTGAATAAAGTGCTACCAGCTTATGAGATTTTTACACTAATCATTGAAATGTTACCAACAACTGTATATTTAAAGAAAGAACTCAGTACTCTGAAAAATACCCGATCCTTAAAAGTATGGACACCAAAGAACTCGATCCTCAAAAGTACTCGATATTTCCCAACACTAAATAAAAATGTTGTTGTTGTAGCGGCTACTGTTTCAGCTAAGGGGAGGCCCAGGAAGTGCGCAACTTCAACAGGATCTGTTCATAGGGACAAATTTTGAATTTATTTACTAAACAAGTGTTTATTTTCCGTTTTTGCAAGAAATATATATCGTCGATGTTTTTGCAAAACTTGCACTTCTTTAAAAAATAATGCCGGATTTTCACCAGACATTAATGGGTCGATTACGGATAGCAACGCAACCACGGTTGGGTTGCCAGCCGGCAACGCAACTGGAAAAAAAAAA